GTTAAGGCCACTCCAAAATGAAAAAAGAGAAAAACATACCAAAATACACTCCTTAATAAATATTTTCATTCATATAGTTATTTGATTAAAAACATTATGTAGAAGCATAAATTTTCCTTTATGGCATTAACACAAATGAAAACTATAAGCAGATCTGAAACAGTTAATAGTATAAAATATAAACTCTCTTTGCCGTGGAAGTAAAATGGTAATTTTTCTTCAACTAGATGAAAGAGTGGATTGTTTCCTTTATGTTTGTATCACAGAAAAATGGAAAAAAAATTACTTTCCTTTTTCAAATGCATGAGAGTAAAAAAAGCCCAACTCTTGTATAAACTTGTTTTTTATAGATAAAGAGACTCATGAATCGTGGTCTAAGTCCAAGAGCTACTTCAGATGTTGGTTTACAAAGTGACTATAGAATTCTCATAACATTTGGAGAGGTGAAGGGCTTTTAGTAAAATGCATATGAAAATAGAGTAGAATTGCTAATAAATTGTTGCCTGAAGTAGAAAGGATGTTTATTTTGAAGTAGAGGACTACCTGCAAGAAGCAGCTTTGTGTGTGTAAGATTCAAAGGTTGCAATTTATCGCAGTGTCTACCAAATACAAAAAAAAAAAAAAAGATGGTGGAAGATTTCCTGATGAAATCATATATAAATATAGACGTTTAATCTTGTGTTATGACAGCATAGTAATGATCAACCTGTTAGTGTCAAATTTCCTCTTCCTTCCGCAGTGAAAGCAGACACAGTTGCTGGAACATCCTTCATTTAAGTAGTTTAACAGTTTCTAGTTTCAGTGCAATCTGTTCTGTTTATTGTAGCCAGCTATTAATAAAATGGTAACAGTGCAAGTGGACTAGAGGAGCAGAACTGGTGTGAGGAAAATCAGAATAACTATGACCTCCTTGGGTCCAAGTTCTGATAATTTTCTGCAATAAAAGACTGAGAGGTGAACAGGTTATCCTTGAAATGTAAGCCTCCTACTGCCTAGCATTTCTAACCCTTCCTCACCTGTCATGCTTAAAACCACAATAAACCTTTTGGAGAAACAATTGCATTGAAAAGCAAAATGGAAAATCCTTATTGTCTACCCTGAATTATCGAGTTATTCTTTGTGTATTGCTTATGCAACTCTCTCTGTCTCTAATGGTGGAGTTAGAGTGCTGAGAGATTTTGCTTCATTTGAGCTCATAGTTTTTGTAAGAGTTAGGCACTCCTGTACAGTGAAGGACAGTCTAGGCTTGAGCAGCTTGGGAAAAAGCCTGGCCAGGGTGTGCTGGAGCTCATCATCTTGCTTCATTACTAGCTGCCATGTAAAACCAGTGTCAACTTTTAATGGAATAAGGGGTTAATTTAGATAAACACATGGAATGTGGCCTTCTGCACTACTGACAGAGCAGAGGCAGTTCATCTCCAGGGACAGGGAGAGCGGGGGCGGTGGGATAGGCTTGCAGAAGGGTTTGGTGAGCGGAGTGCAGAGCTCTTCACTGACCTCCCCTGCACAAAGGAAGCCTGGGGAAGGTGGAAGTGATGGTGAAGGATGCTGAAGGAATTGAGAAACACTGAGCATGAAGGTACAGGATAAAAAAGCCAGAACTCAGGGAGGACTTGTACAGGTACAGTGACAGCAGATGGGAGTGTGGTGATGCAACGTACGAATTCAGACCTCATAACTCAAGACATGCAGATCGGTTTGGGTTTTTATAGTAACATTTTTATGCTGAAACAGATCTGTTTGAACAATATGAAATGTGAAGCATAATCCTTTCTTTTAGGCACTATATGTTCAAGCCTATTTGACTAGTACTAAACTGAGCAGAAGGCTCGTTTGCTCTTTGTCTGCTTCTACGGACTGGATGAAATAACCAGGAATTGCAAACTCCAGCTTGTCACTGCACAAGAGATAAATGTTAATGTAGCATTCTTCTGGCTCTTTTGTTATAATAAAGAGCATACAGGAACTTTATCTTAAAAAAAGATGCATAATTTCAGCTAGGATTAATTGCCTTTTCAAAATGCTGACCAGCTGCTTCAAGTAGAGTACCATAAAAATCTTTTGCTTTGAAGCATGAAAAATTTAAAAGATGAATAATAATAAATAGCAAATAGTTTGTTATTTACTCTGTGCATGCAGTGAATGTATATTTGTGTGTGCTACAGTGACAGCTAAGATTAGCGCCTTTTCTTGTCTGCAATAGGCAAGAAGCTGTTTGAAGTCAGGATATTAAAGGAATCAAATTGATTCCAAATTAATTTCAAGAGAGTGAAGGCGTTTTAAGAGAAAGAGGACATGATACCAGTCCTAAATCAAGCTTAGCAAAAGTCCCTCCAGTTTCTGGGAACAAAAGTTTGCAGGGAATACCTGGGAAGGATGTGTGATGGTGATGTTGGGTTCATTCAAAAGGTTGAACAAGCACCTGAGCATTTACAAAACAGTTGAAGTGATGGTAAATAAACCTAAAAACACTTTCAGAAGGTAATGGAATGTGAGATGCTATCTCAGGACTGTAAAATCAAATTGAGACAGAAGAGATGCCTGTGGTTACTCTCATTTTAAATACCATTAACAGTGCCTTTGTAATTTTAGAGCTTATACTGTTTTAGTGGGGAACAAATTCACACTTGGTCATAGTGGAAAGGAAAGCATGCTCAGATAAAAAGTCAGGCCTGTCAACCTTGATAGGTTTTCATCAAAAAATGCAGCAACCTCTTAATTTGCAGCTCTGTGTTTTTCCATTGCCCAAGTTTTGGCAGCAAAGTATTTGAGAGATTAAAGGAACATTTCTTCATGCTGATCTCACCAAGAATAATCTCACCAAGTCACTTATTCAGAGTCATTTGCCCGCTTTGCTCCTCCTGTATCGTGTTCTAACTCCTCACCTTCAAAGCTCAGTATGATTTTGCTTTTAGCAATCTCATTCCTCATTTATTCTTGTCAGATTTTTTTTTTTTTCAGTGTGTCTTCTCATCTGGAATTCCCTCACCTTTTCTTGGTGCAAGAGGTAAACATATTCATTTGCACATTACATTGAGGGAAGCATCTTTATGTTCATTTTCAAAATGTAAAAACCTTTAGAACAATACAGATCTTTACTCTTAAATTTTTATATTGCTGGTAAGCCTTCTGGAACTTCTGAAGCTTGTGTTAAAATATCAGGTCCCTGAAATAGGGACAAGGGCCTCCTGTGTCCCAGGGATTTGTTGAGAAACTGAATGTTCCAATCTTCTACACTAAGTAGATTAACGGGTTTTTTTCTTGTAAAGTAAGCAAGCAGAATGTGTTTTGTAAAGTGATTTGTAAAATGCTGTTGTAAAGTTCAATTTGTGAGAGAATTTCATATGTGGTTGGTAAAATGCATCTACTTTTCCAGTATCTATGGCTTCTGTTTAATGCAAAAAATGAAAGAAGCGAATGTATTCTGATTAGCCATGCATAGACTGGCAGATGACATAGTTCAGTTTGTTACCACTACTCCAGCATAGCACAGCCTGCTAGTACGGCATTAACCATGGGATCTTTTCTAGGTGTTAGCAATGCCCTATGACTTTATGTAGATTCCCTTTTATTTCTTCTAATGTGGTGAGCTTTTGTGTTAATATGTTAAAAAAAAAAAAAAAGATTGTATTAAACCAAATGGAGATATTTCTAAGAATTGCAAGATGGTTTCTTTCTCTGAGATTGCTGTTGACTGCATCCCTTTAACTACTACATACGATACAGAAATCTCACCAGCTGTCATGTATGGTATGTCTGCCCCACTGACTGTGTAGATTACAGAAAGATGTTCTCTGGATGTTTAGGTGATTTTTTTCCCCCTTTCTGGTGACTGATAGAAGTTGTTAAAAGGTTAGAAGGCAGTTCAGTTAGTAGGGCAGATTTGAAATTATAACAGTTGCAGTTATTGATGCTTTATTTGTGGAAGGGCATATGAAGGTCTGTGGCTTCTCTAGCTGCCTCCCATTAAGCCAAAAGGAAAGAAAAACATTCCGAGTTTACGTGAAAATTTCTCTTTGTTCTGGACTTGGAGCTCAGAATGGCACACATCTTGCTTGGGAATTAATTATTTGGCTGTTTAAGCAATTGCATTTATGGCTTTTGACAGTGAAAGTAAACTCTAAATCACTGTATTAGAAGGATAAGTTTGAATTTAGGCAGCAGCAAAAGAATGCCAAAGATGTGTGATTTCCAGTTTATGTGGAAACTAAAATGAGTGAAAAGGAGGGCTATGTATTAGCCATGTAAGAAGGAATTTAGGGAAAGAGTTTAACACTGAGATGTGGTGTGTATTTTGGTAATGATCAGAAGGGTTTTCTTTTGTTTTGTGATTTTATGTTAATATAATAAGCAAAAAAAGCAAGTTATATTTAAGAAACTCTTCACACAGGAAAGTTGTCACACTTCCTGCAACAGATTTCGGATGGGAGTGAGTAGTTGTGAAAGGCATTTACTATATAACTGTGCAAAATGAGGCCTCTTGATAAACACAAAAGTACTAACTTGTAATTAGGTATTTTGAACACGCAAATAGTTCCGTACTCTGAGCTTCAGGGATATATTTATCTTAGAAAAGTACTCGAGACCTATTAATTCAAAGTCTTTTGTTAGGTCTTTGTCAGGCTTTTGACCTTCATAGACCTTATCCTGATATTTTAAAATTTGTTTGCTTCTTTTCTCGCTATATTTTTCCAGTTCACTTTCTTCTTTTCTTCCCCACCAAAAAAAAGTTTGTCTTACCATTATAAAGACACGTTTTTCTAAGTGTCTAGCGGCTAGAAAATAATAGAAATACATTAGTGGATAGTAATCAACTGCATCTATTTTTCTTTTTCCAAACTCTTCTTCAAAAAGATGAAATTAATTACTGGGAGGTAATTTTCTGCAGTTTTATAGGGGTAGAGGAATTTGGAACAACAAAACTTTCAAAGCTGTCTGTGTTCCTGCCTTTCTAACTTTAGATATTCATGAGGGTTTTAATAATGAGAAATTGGATATGATTGGGGAACGTTAGATATATTCTAACATCCCACACTGAGAATTCTTCAGGGATGTGCAGAAGTTAGTGGCACTTCAGAGTAGGACTAGTAAGTCCCACTATCCAGTCTCAGAGTTGTAGATGTATCCTTGCCAGGAGGGGTGGATGTCTTTCTCTTTCCTTCTTGCAGTATGCAGTGTTCTTGTCTTAGAAGCTCGGAGTGATATTACCTGAAATGAGAACACATTGGAAGTTACACTGCTAGGAGAATCTAAGTGCAGAGTGAACCTGTGCTGCTGTGCTGATATTAACTTGATGTGCTAAAAGAGATTAGGAGATCCATGCTGCTGTATGGTGGCACTGGGACAAGTCAAATGAAGTTTGATGGAGACATCAAATACCCATGAATCAGAACATATCAAGAGAAAACCGATGAAGATAGTGGCACTTACAGTTTGAGCACTGGTGTTGGTGTAACAGCTTATAAGAGCAGATCTTTCAAACAAATCATTGCTTTTGGAAATAGTGATTTTATATAAACAGCCTAGCTCTATGCAGTGCACAGTTTAAGGTTTTGTTTAGATTCTTACAAGGGTCTGGGTTTTTTCAAAGCAAAAATCTTTTGTAGTAAACAATTAGTCAAAAGGTTTTTAAAGATTCAGAATGGAATTGTTTGATATGCAGATCAGCAGCGATACAGACCTGCATTCTCTTCTGCATCTTGAAAGTTACCTCCTCGGTCTTTCCTGTGCAGACAGTTTTCTCATAATTTGTTTTGTTTGCTTGTGGAAGAAGCAATCTTGAACATGTCAAATGCATACAGGGGAAATATTTGGGGACATGTTTTCTCCTATTTTTTGCTTACTTATTTTATTAAATTAGGAATTTAGTTCAGTGGAAAGTGTTCAGAATTTTCTTTACTTAACAAACTTTGGGAAAGGAAGTAGCTGAGAACTTTGCATTTTGACTAGGCAAAGAAGAAAAGGCAATATTCTGAAGGCACTTTTTTTTTTTTTAATTTGAAAAGAAGTGTTTACAAAGGTGTGACACAGAAAGGGACTGGGAGAAGTGCATTTGGAAAGTTTTGTAAATGTCCCTTCCTAACCTTCCATATTATTAGTGTGATTGCTTAGGCCTTAAGGCAACATCTTTAAATTCCTTTCATTCTTCTGTATTCCAGCTTTTAATTTCAAAACAACTTTGTGGGAAAGAGTTGCTCATACTTATATTAAACGACCTTATATTTATTTCTGAACATCAGACAAAAAAAAAAAGCCAAAATGTTTTCTTCTAAAAGCTGTTAAGACAGAGGAAGCAAAAAGGGTTTTCATAAAATGGCTACTTTAAGTAGGCCATTGAGAATTTACCTCAGAAGAACACATAAGAATTGCTTACATGAATAAAGGAACTACCCATCTGCAATAAAATATAGGTTTCTCTGAGTCTGTGCTGTGAAATTCTGCAAGTTAGAGCAAAGTCAGCTGGTAAAGTCCTCAAAAGAGTCAGGCAAAGGGCTCTAGAAGCCATTGGTGTATCAACCTGCATTAGATGGATGAAACCTTGAAAATTAGTAAAGTGTACTAAAGAATTTTTAACTTCAGTTAATTAAGCAACAGTAAAAATGTAATCCTGTTTCCTCATTTATCAAGATCCTAAAATTTTTACTGATTAGAGTTAGTCAGCTTTTCCAAAAGTATAATAAATATGTTGGCTTGATTATATATTTTATTGTACCCCTTGGTATTTTTCCTAATGTAATCTTTCTTCAAAATTATGATTATTATATGGGTTGAGTTACACACAGTTTGGTTTCAAAGCCTGATCTCTTTGATCAGGGTAACCTGGCTAGCCAGTTTCCTCTTGATGCTAAACTTCTACTTTCATTAAAATCAAAAGCTGTATAGCGAGTAACTATATTTGAATATAGCATTTCAAAACAACTACAAATTTGCACTGTTTTAAGTAAAATGTTTGGTCTCTTGCTTTATGTGTGTAGAGAAAAATGAGATTTAGTACAACTGTATCATAGGAAAGCAGTAGAAATGAATATACTTACCAACATTAACATTGCTCACTTCTTTAATCTAGTGAACTATTATATAAAAAACCCCAAACCCTGGTTTACTGTATTCAGTACAGCAATAGTAATTTATTTCATATGTTACCAAAGGCTTGTTTTTATGGTTATTTCAGTATACTGGCAGCTTGATATAGCCTTTTGACATTAAAATATCTTACTTTTTTTGTCATCCAGATAGCAGGACCTCAGAGACACTTTATCTGAAAAGATTTCATTTGCATTGATGACCTCTGCAGGCTTCTGAGATAGTTCTGATGGCAGAAGTACATAAAGTTGATTACCCTAACAAGTTAGTGTTGGGTACAGATGAATAACACTCAAGTCAGCCTTTCTTTGCGCAAATCTGGACTTGTTTGAATTGTTCCTTAGATGACAAAAGTAAATGCAGGGAGCCACCTTTTAACATTCTTCTTGGATTATGGAAACACTTTGAGTTCTGGAGCTCAAAAAGAAACAGGGAAATTTAGTTCCAAATGTTATTGTCTCTAGGTTGCTCTGTCCTACAAAACTGAGTATTTAATTTTTCAGGCCAAAGCAAGATACCTGTATCTTAACACAGGGAATGTGTTTTCTTCCTTTAGAAGGAAATCCAACTTGAGAAAACACATTTTTTAAATATAAGCAGTTTATAAAGGTCTTTGGTAAAGTATTTTCATATGCTCTATGTCTCAAAATACATGAAAAGTTAAATGCAAGCAGAGAAGGAACAAAGGAGGCTGAAACAAAGAAAATTGAATTACACAGATCAGGTGGCTATAAATTAAGACTTGAATCTACTTATTGGAGCCAGTGAGATGAAAGAGACATAAAAAAATACAGATGTGAAAGGGGATGTTCTTGCATGCAGGACTGGACTGCTTAGCAAAGCCAAAGAAGGCAAGAAACCAAAAATACACTTTTAAACAAGTAATATGCATTTGAAAGATCTGAATCAAGAAAGCAATAATACAAAATACAGTAGACCAGAAGATTAAAAGAAGTAATATTGTCCTTCAAAAGGTTTGAATGACTAGGAGTCTGAAGAGGAAATTTCAGGTTTACCTGTACCTACTGGAGAATGTACACATTAAGAACTCACTTGACCCAAATCTACTTTGCAAGCAAGTTTTGGCTGCAAACATTAGCATTATGTTATCCTTATGTAAAAGCACCTTCCACTGGCAGTCAAGTATGTCTAAAAATACTGGGTTTTTTGGAAAAAAAAAATAGTTGACTGAAAAAAGTACCTCTGTATCACTAGACTTACTGTGCCTCTCATTGGTGTGTAATTTGAAGGTTTTTTTGTGGTTCATCTTGTCATGGTCATTAATGTGACTCTTCGTTTGATTTAGGAATTGCATGGAAAGAAACCAAAATTGTAGGTGAAGAAAAATAATTTTTCTGTCTTTTCCTTGTAAGAAAGTTGCAAATAATGAATGTTAAAGATCCTCTTGTGATATGGATCAACTTCCAGTTTGTAGATTTTCTGTAAAGAAAGGCCTAAAAATGCTGCTGAGTTATCTGAGCAAGCTGGATTTTTCTGGGAGCTGACAGAGCATGTAGGCCAGTTTCAGAAAAGTGTTTTTGTCTAACTACCAACATAAGCAGTACTCCTATAAAAGGTATTACTTCCTGGCCTCTTGAAAACACTCAGTGTCTAAGAAGCTCAGACAGGTGAAACCAGTGTAATTATTCTGGGTAAATTCAACTGGCTCATGAGGAAGCCCAGGCCACTTCCCAATCTTGCAGCCAGAGAACAGGGAGTGCCTTGCTTGCTTGGAAAAGTGACAGCCAGCAGCACCTGTCTGGGAGGCTTTGAAAGAAACAGAGATGCAGATGATCCAGTATCTGTTCCATTCATTTCCTTGAGAGGGGGTTTACTATTTTTTGCTACTTAAGCTAATGTTGGTTTTTCAAGTGCAGTATGTACAGACTGAGCACTATTTTGTGCCAGTGTAAGCATATTTACATTTGGGCTTCTGCCATTAAAACTCCTATTTTAAAGGAAATCAGATCTCGTGTTTCTCCGCAGGCATAAGTTTCTCTTGGCTTAAGCTTATGAAAAATACATACTGTTGTATATTGCCCATTAAAAAAATAAAAGTAAAGTTTGAAATAAGGTGAATGAAAACAAAAGTATAAATCCAAAGAGCAAAATTGTGCATTCTGTATATTTCTAAGACAAAATATCTGGGTTAGGAGAAGAAAATGAAGGCACCTAAGCCGCATATATATGTACACATATGTATTTTTTCATATTCTTTTTAAGCCATTTGTTTTGATGTCATCATGTATTATTTTCGTTAAAGGAATCTGGCATCTGAAATATATGTGTATATCCATGCCTTTGCTAAAAAATAATTTAAACAGTTTGTCTATCAGCAGTAGCATTAGAAGTTCAGCTATTTTTGCATAAGGACTAAGGAAATAATTCTAAGAACCTCTCATGTGGAATCTTTCTGAATTTTATATTTTAACTTCCTAAAATGGTTTTTGTCTTTGTTTTGTTGTTATTGTTGTTGTTGTTGCTTACTCAAAGAGCTGGCAGGATAAGTGGCAGCTGTAAACTTAAGGGTAGGCTGCAAAGTTTTTCTTCCAAAGCCTTTCTTTCATGTTTAGCCAAGTGAGAGACATGGAGTGAAATGTAAACTCTAGCTTGGCATGTCCTCATGGCCATCTCTGCTGGTGAGCAGCCAGAGGGGCAGAAGGGGGGCTGAGGCTGCCTAACCACAAGGACCCGGAAGGCGCCGGCCATGAGCTGCCGCTCCAGGTTGCTCAGAGGAGGAGGAATGTGGAGATGGTGCTTGAGGGCTCTCGATCCTGTACCCCTGAATCAGCCCTCCCCATTGCACCCGCTCTTTCTCACTTCATCCTCCCTCTGGGACAGAAGGGAAAGTCATCCACGTCTCCACTCAGTCATTTAACTGCTTCTCTTTAATCCCTGGGAGTCCAACTGGGAACTGTGTGTTTCGTTGAACTTTGTTTGATTTGGAATTATGGACTGGAACCATTTCTATTTAACGTGGGAAACAAGCTTTGCAGAAACTCAACCTTTACACTGGAAAAGGAACTTCCCATAAAGCATAAACAGATGTTTGTACTTTTGTATGCAGATATATTTGTGGGAGCCTTTGTGATAAACTGCATAAATGTAATATGGAGTTCTAAAAA